TGGTACCCCAGAGCATTTGTTATGTGTAGCACAAGGGGTTAGCTAGTCTCAGTAGGAGTTTAGTATCAGGCTGTAAACATCTGGGAGGAGGAAGCTGTGGTCAGTCAGTGCTTTCTGTACACTCTGTCAACATTTGCACATGGGCCAGAGGAAGGTTTTGCTAATTCCCTGAGCCTGATCCAGGGAAGGCTTTGTCAGTTCCTGTGGGTCTGAGGCATTGGTTCTTGTCAATATTACACATCACTCAGGACTTCATTTGCTCCGTACATATTTACTCAGGGCTCCCTCTATTCTCCATGGTAAAGTTTCTTCCATTTGCAATCCGTACTCATTGCTACTTGTTTCACAGAGCACTGAAACGTTCCATCATTCAGCCCACATTCCTGCTCCCGTGGGTCTGATGGTTCTCGTTTCCTGAGACAATGTTGGAGATAGACTCAGAACAGACATAACACTTACAGAGCTTCTCCAGGGTGCCTGCCCTGGAAGCGGGGAGGAGGAACTTCCATCTTTCTTCACAGCATGTTCCATGGAACATAATCAGAAAGTAAATACTAAAATGTCCACCCAGAGTGAGTGGAGAGATGGCTTAGCAGTTAAGAGCATTTGCTACTTTTGCAGAGGACCTGGGTTCAGATTCTAGTTCTCAGCGTGGGTTGTTCACAGTTGCCTGTATCTCCAGCTCCAACATCCTTTTCTGGTTTCCAGGTACCCACATGCATGTGTGCTTACAGCCAGCCAGCCAGCCAACTGCACACACACACACACACACACACACACACACACACACACACACACACACACATCTTTTAAAAAGGGACACTCATTTTTTTTCTCTGTAACTGGATTATAAAGTGTTATCTACCCCTCCCCTACTTTTTGCAGAATCAGATGTTTATAAGATGATTGAATATGTTTATCCAAAACTTTGTGAAAATCATTTTTGAAGAGTAGCCAAATTAGTCAACTTGTAAAGAACTTCCAAAAGTTTATAGTCTGGGGATATGACTCAGTAGTAAAGTGCCTCCCTAGCCTGGACAAGACCCTGGGTTCCATTCCCAGCATCATAAACAACAGCAAAAATCAAGACCCATAAACAAACAAAATATAAAGACCATCTTTAATCAATATATGGCGATATTCTAGAGCATTGCAGGAAGGCTGTTGAGAAAGTATTTTTCTCTAAAAGTTCCGTGTCTGTTGGCTGTCTATGATTTATCCCACTAGGAAACCTTGACAGTGTTCCCAAGTGAACTCTGGTGCAGGTGCACCCATCTGAATGGGTCTAAGATTTTTTTTTTCCTTATTGGTTTGTCTGACTGGTCAAAGAAAAGTCGTCCCTAATCCAACAATCACTCATGCCGATTTCAAAGCGGAGTCTTCTGCATGCCTGGGTTGGGGTAGTAGGCTAGGGTAAGAAGGATGAAGAAGAGGGTAGGACCTGTGTCCTGGGCCACCGTCCTCTGAAGAACATTACTACTCTCCTCCCTCACTCAGCCAGTGCTTTGATGCTCACATTTCTGTTTTCCCCTCTCCTCCCCTCCCCTCC